AGCTAGTTGCTATAGGCTTGGGAAAACATGGAATCCTTCAGGGTAGGGCTGCCAAGTGGGGGCGGGGAAACCCCCACTTTGGAGGCCCGATTTCCGCCTCGGCGGAATCGGGCCCCGGGGGGAACTCCGCCCCCCAAAGCTGTGTCACCATATGGTTTCCCCCCCGACGATCTGGGCCACGCCCCCAACGTGAGCGACGTCGCACCCCGGTGAGTTTGCGGGACTTGGCAACCCTACTTCAGGGGTACAATATCCCTTCACCCTCCCTTGGCTGTAGTGACAGACGTTTTGCTACTTTATAAATACAAAAAAAAATAGCTTTGTACCAGAGTAAAAAAAATTTTTTCCCCGTTGTCAAGTTGGCATTTGCAGAAACTAATTTAGGTATAAACTGCTAGGCAGAAGAGGGAATTGTGTTTCAATCTCATTAAGCTGAGGGAAACCAAGAGACGAATATACGATACAAAAACATTGAAGGAGAAAACCAAGTAAAAATGTATGAAGGTTGTTTGCTGTACAGTCCAATAAATGTCACCTGAATGCGAGGGAAACAATGTTCTCTGGAAGTGAAAGTACATTCTATTCCCCAAACCGGTTTTATTTGTCAACATCTGTGTAGGGCTACTCCATGCAACCACTCACCTGTGAACAAGTACCAGAGGTTGTTGGGTTCCAATGTTTCCACGTCCCCTCTACGTGTAGTCTTTCTGTGTCGGATTTTGTAGCCCGTTATAAATCCATTTTGCATGCCCGGGGGTGGTGGCAACCAGCTAACTTTGATGCTCTGAAAAATAAAGTGAAAATAAAGGGACAATTTAATTTTTATTTACTTTCTTCTAAAGGTGAAGTAGATCAAAGTATCCACCGATCTGAACAATGAAGGCCTCTTCAACAATAACAATAATAATGATCTCATATAGTAGTCCTCTCAAAAACAAGAAACGCGACTCTGGATCACACACAGGGTTGCTAGCTCCGGGTCGTGATATACCGGGAGATTTGAGGGGCAGAGCCTGAGGACGGCAGGGTTTGGGGAAGGGGAGGGACTTCAGTGGACTAGAAGGCTGTAGAGTCCACCTTTCAAAGTGGCCATTTTCTCTGTCTCCTAGAGATCAGTTGTAATTCCAGGAGATCTCCAGGCAGGAGAACGATAGTCTCCCACCACCAACTGGCAACTTACAACCAGGATCATGGGGGGGGGGGGCTTTCATGCCAGATTGCTCCTCCATGCAAAAGGGGGGAAACAACTATAACTAGGCCTCATGTTTTTGTTTCCGTCTTGTCACACCAGTTTTCAATCCAAAGCGATTTGGCTTGCATTTATTTAGTCAGAATGCGCACGCGCTTGTGTGTGTAAGAGAGAGAGAGCACATTAAGCATCTTCACAGAACAGGTCTAAGGCTGTGTGTGGATCATTAAAAAGCTTTAAAAGATGAAACTAGGGTTGCCAGATCGGACTTACCTTCCCGGCAGGGGACTCTGGGTTGGCTCCCGGAGTGTGCGTGCGCGTGCAGAGCGCGCGCCGCATGCACATCACAGGGAAGTGACGTCATGACGCTGGGCATGCTGGGGGCGGGGCCACAGCCATTTGAGGGGGAAACTCTATGTTCTCCCCTCAAATGGCTGCCATTTGAAGGGAAAACATAGAGTTTCCCCCTCAAATGGCTGTGGCCCCGCCCCCAGCGTGCCTGGCGTCATGACATCACTTCCCTGTGACATGCACACGGGGGTGGGGTTTCCCCCGGGGCCCGATTCCGCGGGGGCAGAAATCGGGCCTCCAAAGCGGGGGGAAATCCGCCCCCTGGGGGGACTTGGCAGCCCTAGATGAAACTCCTCAGTCAAAAGTCTGAGTAAAAAAGGAAATGTTTGGGCCTGTCACCTCAGCAGAGTAGGCGCCAGCTGAACCACAAAGAAGAGGGCATTCCAAAGGTGAGGAGCCACCACTGAAAGAGTCCCATCTTTGGTTGCTACACCCTCACTTCTGCAGGGACACGCGGGGCCGGTGCCAGGTTTTTTTGCACACTAGGCGAGGCTACCTTCTGGTGTCCTCCCCGTGCGCCCCCCCAATTTTCAAACATAAATGTGTTTTAGGAAGACTGAAAAACACAAAAGACAGCCAATGGCCTCGTCCGATCCAAATGACCTGGTAGAATTCTGAGGGAGTAGAATGGGCTGTATCCCTAGGAGAACATTCACTAGGGTTGTCAACTCCAGGTTGGGAAACACCTGGCGATTTGTGCAATGCCTGAGGAGGGAAAGGACTTCGATGGGGTATAATGTCATAGAGTCCACCTTCCGAAGAGGCCATTTTCTACAAGTGAAGACGGGGGGGTCGCTGTGGCTTGGGGGCTGAAGGAGGGTATCTGGAGAAAGATGGAAGAGGCAGACACCTACCACACAGAGACACATGGAAGACAGCCTGTTCTTCATCTTCATGGGGGTGTGGGGGGCAGAGGCTGCCGGAGGGGGGAGGAGACAGAGGGGGCTCATTCATCAGGACTAGATGGGAACGTGAAAGGGCGCGGGAGGGAGGGGGGAGAGACCAGGCAGCAGAAGGCCGCAGGAGGGAGGGCTGCTGCAGTGGTGGCAATGGAGGGGCCGACTGGCCAGCTCGGTGTGCTAGGGGGAAGCGACGAGGTGAGCGAGGGAGGGCTGCGGTGTGGGTGGGAGCCAGGCCCTGCAAGATTGGTGAGCCAGCCGGCTGCTGGAGTCCGGGCTGCAGAGGAGAAGCGAGGAGGCAGTGCCAATGGCACTGCATAAACTGCCTCAGTGCAGCGGCAGGGGGCGGGTGACAAAGGCGTCAGGGGGTGCCCCACCTCCATTGTGTTGTAGGCATTGTTGGGCTGCCCCGAAATCCTGCCCTTGCCTTTCTGCCCCTCCAGGATCTTGCCAGAGTTTCTTTGGGGGCGTAGGCAACAGCTGCTGGGTGCTTCGTGGCCGCTGGGCTCTTTTCCTCCCTTCCATCGTGGCACACGTTGGGAGGAGAGGGCGGATGGTCAGACAGAGCCGCTGGGAGAGTCAGCCAGTGAGCAGGGCCGGTGTGCGTCCATATCGGCAGGCCCAGTGGCGCCCCCTGGAGACGGCACCGTAAGGCAGATGCCTAACCTTGCCTCTATGGACGAACCGGCCCTGGTGACATGGGGCGAGATGTGGAGGGAGGATATTGATTGGCAGGCTGAACTAAAGTCGCCAAGTCTGCATTGGGAAATTCCTAGAGATTTGGGGGTGGAGCCTGGGGAGGGGAGGGTTTGGTTAGGGACAGGACCTCCGCTGGATAAAATGCCATAGAGTCCACCCTCCAAAGCAGCCATTTTCTCCAGGGGAACTCTGTCATCTGGAAATCAGTTACATCTCTGCAAGACTTTGGAGATCTCCAGGCCCCACCTGGAGGATGGCAACCCTAGGCTGGAGAGTATGAGAGAAGGCCATCCTTCAATTACCCTTTAAAGCTGTTTAGGGCTTTAAAGGTTAGAATTAACACTCTGAATTGTGCCTGGAACCAAATTAGTAGCAAGTGGGTGGGTGTGTGGTGTAGTAATGCTTCTGAATCCATCCTTAATATGAATTATCCCTGGAACACATCCACACAAAAAGCCCAGTAGCACCTTTAAGACTAACAGACTTTATTGTAGCATAAGCTTTTGAGAAACATCTTTGTCAGTGAGAGAAAAACCCTGATGCCTTTGGAAGAAGGGCGGGGGGGGGAATGAAAGAGACTCTCTCTTCTTGCTCTCCCTCATGTTAGAATTCTGCCTCAGAACACATATCCACACCTCCTCCTCTCCCTCCAAATTTCTCCTCACAACTGACTTTTAAAATGTGCTGGCTTCACGAAAGACTGGAGCTCTAGGATCGGGTGGAGTTATTTATTTGAGTATATTTATATGGCTCCTCACAGCACAAGGTTCCTGAGGTATCTCGCCATAATAACCAATAAATAAAGACTGTTCTAAGTAACATGCCGTAAAATTGATGAAAAGTAGCAGTATAAACAATAAAACATTAAAATGCCGACAGAAACAGAAGCATGTAAAACGTATTATGTATGACTGAGAAATGGGGGGGGGGGGAAGCCCTGTAGAGTCATATAGACCTCAAGATGATGTAGGTCTCAAGAATCAGCTGCCCCTCAAGACAGATTCTAGTGTCATGGTTACAGAACTTTTGGAGAAAACTCAAAACAGTTCTGTTCCATAAGCACTTCGATCCAACTGATCATAGTGGACAGCGTCTCGCCCTATTTTCTTGTATTCTATATATTGTATTATCATGATAGAAGCAGGGGACCTTCAACGACTTGTGGTGGGGGTATCTCATTTTCTCCCTTTACTTCCCTTCCCCACTATTTCCTCTTCCCCTTTCCTGGCAACCCCCAGAGCCTCTTCCTTTTCCCTGCTTCCTTCTCTCTTTAATACCAACCAGCCAACCTACCAACCCTTCTTTGGCTTACCCTCCTTCCCTGGGGGTGGGGGGACTGGCTAAGGTGTTTGGTGGCCACTATTACCAGGGAGGGCTGGACTGGTGCCCCACTGTATGGTGACCACAGCCAGGCAGGACGGATGATTCCTCCTCCATCAGAGGATATGGCAGTGGAGGGAGTGGGGGCTTTCACAGAGCTGTTTTGGCCTCCAAGTCTACCCACACCCCTTCCATGGCTTTCTTTTACAGAAACCCAAGCTTGGATATGGGAATTCTTCTAATAAAACTCCAGGTGTTGATATATATATATATTTTCAGATATTTTTCTCGCAAACCTGGGTCCTCATTACAGTTTACAGAGAGATACCCTTTCTGTCTCTAGCTCCATTTGCCGATCTATTAATCCACACTCTATGGCTTCATTCAGAATTAAATATATTGATTTTAATGTTTGATAGGGTTGCCAAATGGGCCCGGGTGGCGGGGGATCCCTCGCTTCGGAGCCCCGAGTTCTGCCCCGGTGGAATCGGGGCCCGGGGGAACCCCGCCCCCGAAGCTGCGTCACCAGAGGTTTTCCCCTGACGAGCTCGGCCACACCCCCAACGTCAGCAACGTCGCACGTCACTTCAGGTGATGTCCTGCCAGCGTGCGCGTACGAAGCGCGTGCGCGCACGCACTCAAAAGGACCTCCCGGACACCGACGAGGCTCCCCCACTCCAAGGGGTAAGTGGATTTGGCAACCCTAATGTTTGATGAGGTTTTAATGTTAGAATATTGTTTTTATAATTGCTGATAAGTTGTCTGTCTGTCTGTCTGTCTGTCTCTCTCTCTCTCTCTCTCTATCTCATATGGCTATCACTTGAAGTAGAAATTACTGATAAGTTATCAGTGATAACTACCTTGGGATGGTGTACAAATTAACCTAAATAAATAAATTACATAACATCAGTGATGAAACAAAGGTCCTGCGGCACCAAGCAAATGACCACACCAGAATCAAGTACCCAGTTCTGCCATTCTCTTTTTAAAACAGGGAAAGTTTAGCTGATTAAGAACAGGTGTCAATGAATACCTCATAAAGAGATCCAGTTTTATCACAAGGAAGTTGATTAGTCCATAAATAAATATAAGCTTCGGCTTGCATCCACATCTCTGACTGCATTACAGAGCTCAGGGTTTTGTTTAGTTTTTTGCATTTTGTATTGTCTAAGCATTTGTTGTTCGGCTACACAATCTCAGATGTTTTCAGTGCCGGATAATACAGAGTGCCCTTATGGTAGAGCAGACTGCATTTTTCAATTCTGGAAACCATTATTTTAAATGTGGATTTAGTAGCCAGGGTCGTAAAGGAAACGGTATGCACAT